CACAGAAAGAGGATTTGAAAAGAAGTGAGACTGGATTGTTTTTGGTCAGTTTGCTAACTGAAACTAGATTGTAGTTGAAGCTAGGAATGTAAAGGACTTGAGAAAGAAACAGTCCACAGGGCAACTTAACAACTCCTATGTGTGTGGCCTCTACCTTATTGCCATTAGGCAGATTGACAAAGACCCCTGTCAGAGGTCTATGCTTAAGGAAAAACCTCAAATGACACACTATATGGTCTGTTGCTCCAGTGTCCAGAACCCATAATGGTTCATTAGACTTTGTCAAGAGGGTTGAGAGCATTGTAATACCTGAACTGGAAGGGAGATAAACTTGTTGGTACTGAGTGACATTAGAACTTGAAGGCTGTTGTGGAGCTTTTGCTATCTGGCTATGAGTAGCAATCACAGCATTAGCTGAGTGTCGAATGGAGGGTGAGGTAGGTGGTGATGGTGAGGAAGGTGGTGTGGGAAACAGGAGCAACCTTAGCTTCTCCATCTGATCAGTGGTCAGTTGCAGGCTTGCCAAGCTTGATGCAGCATCTTGTCTTGGTGGTACAGGAGAGGTATGCATTCCTGCACTCTCACTGTTAACATTGGATTCAACAGATCCTGCAAAGTTCACACCACCAGCCTCCCTAGCCTTCTTGTTCTTAAGTTTAATGCACTCATACACTGTGTGAAACTCCTTCTTACAGTACCTACAATACTTCTTCCCATCTTTGTAGTCCCTAGAAGTAGCTTGTGGATGCTGCTGTCCTGATGCAGCTGCCAGAGCAACAGACTCAACACCAGCCTGCTTGTTCACACCTTTCATTTGACGTTCCAGCTGAAGTATTTGCTTGAACACAACGTCAATGGAAGGCAAGATAGGGTTCATCAGAACCTGAGTACGAGCTGACTGGTAAATGGGGTTCAACCCTTGCATAAACTTAATCACAAAGTCATTGTCCTGGTATCTCTTTAGGGTTTCATATGGTCCATTGCAAGGGCAAACTGGAATGGGTCTGTACTTCTTAAGCTCTTCCCACAAAACAGTGACATTAGTAAAGTATTGATTCACAGATTGGTCCTCCTGGTGGCACTTAGCAAGCTGGGTTTGCAAATCAAAAACCTAATATTGTCTTCCTGACTGAATCTGATCCTTAGATTATCCCACACAGCTTTTGCACTCTCTAACCTCATGACACTATTAGCAATGTCTTCAGCAAGGGAATTGTAAATCCAGCAACGGATGGTTCCATTGCAACGCAACCAAGACTGATAGATTGGATCTGTTACCTCTGGCTGTGGAATGGTTCCATCAACAAAACCCAGTTTGTTTTTGGTACCCAGTGCAACCAGCATCACTTGGCTCCATGTGTGGTAGTTGCCGTCGACGAGCTTGACCGAGATGATGGTAGAGAGAGCTCCATCCTGCGGCGGCAGGTAGTATGGGTTCAGGTAAGGATCTTCATAGGCAACGAGCTTGCCTGATCCAGTTTTGGATGGATCTTCTCTGTTCAGATCAGATTCAGACGTTTCACCAGACATTTTTCAGACAAAAGAAGGAGGTGGAGATGTTGAAGAAATGGAAAGACTAAGGGACGAAACCCTAGCGAAAATGTGAGCAACCAGGCTCTGATACCATAAGAAGAAATGGACAGATCTGGGGGAATCGCTCGTTGAGCCTTTCCATTGAATGAAGTTTCAAATATATACAGAGTTCCTAATCCACTGTACACTAACGGCTAATTACAACTAACAACTAATCTAACCAATTACAAGTAAGCACGTGTTGCTGTACAGTAAAACCGGAAATAAGAGCCTAACGACTAAGTGAAACGGCAGCACTCCATCACTTCATCTATACGCTGCCGTTTGGCTCTGCTTCTCCTTTCTTCTTCTTCTTCGTGTCTAGCTGGACTGAAGCAGAGCCTCTTCCTGTCAATGCTGCAGCACAGCTTGATTGATCCATCTCAATCTCCTTCCTTGGTATAGTTGTCTACGTTTTGCCCGTCGAGTTTCTCTTGTCGTCGAGTTCCCTAACAACGGCGTCGCTCCGGCTTCCGGCATCGCTCCCGTCCTTTCCCCTCTGGCGCCGGCCGCTACGTGTGTCTCTTGCCTGAGTTCCCTCAATAACAAGTGTATTGGTTCTGTCAACATCGGCTTCACTCTGGCTTTCGACGTCGTTCCCGTCCGACGTCGCTTCCTTCCAGCGCCTACCCCGTCTTGATTTCCTCCCACATTATCCCTTATCGCTTCTTTTTTAACTTTGAATATTTTTTTACTTGGGTTGTTAAGTTATCACTGTGTAATTATTAATGTTTGGAATTCTCATTCTATATTTTTTCCGCATTATTTCATAACTATTGATAATCTGACTTTATTATTAACCATGTTGGTCTCTATTTTTAACAATTTTGTATTACGTCATTAATGTTTCCTGCATTATCATTGTCGTTTGCTGTCAATATTTATTGATTTCGGTGTCATTATTATCCTTATAGCTTTGTTTATAACTTTGAATCATTTTTGCTTGCGTTGTTAAGTTATCAATGTGTAATTTTTATTTTTTGCAATTCCCATTTTTATTTTTTTCCGCATTATTTATATTTATCCACCATAATCAACAATTCCCTCTTCCACTCGTTTTATGGTGGGTTTTCCCTTTGATGCAATCATTATCAATGAATTTACTTATATTTTCAACTCCAACACAACTTAGTTATTAATGATTAAAATTGTCATTATCAACATTTCAATGTAAACTCTTATAATATTAAGCATTGATTAGCATATACAACCATTAATAATGATAGGTATATCATACATAATTCATTGCATATAACGTTCATAATGTAATTGAAATTCGTTGTAAGAGGCCATGACTGGCTAGTTATGAACTTGACGTGCTAACGTGAATCGTTAATAAAAATGTTGTAAATCAATGATAGTGTTATTCAAATAATTAATGATGATGTTACATAACTATAATAATTCTTTCATAAGTGTTGATGATGAAAATGTAAATAGTTAACAAATCGATCAAAAATTGTTAACAATCTTAAAGCATTGATACGTTTTGTGCAATTCCTTAATTTTTTTTTGTTTCCAACGAAATACAACATTGTTTTAAACATCTTTGTGCTTATTTTCAATGAAATACAATTTGGTTATCAATGATTTGATATCTCGTTATTGAATATTGGATCATAGGTGCACTATATCACAAGTATAGAAGATGTCAAAAATAAACATTGTACTTTTTGATCACTGAGAACGATAATGTTAAGCGATAATGTGATATCAATTGATTGCAAAAAGTTAACAATATCATTAGAAATCATTGTAAGAGGTCATGACATGGATATTTGTCATGGAAATTTGAATTGTTAATAAATATGTTGTAAGTCAACGATAACAATGGTTTAATCATTCATAATGATGTGGTACAAACTTAATAATTTCATTGTAAACGTTGGTGACGAAAATGTAATCGATCAGAATTGATCCAAATTGTTAACAATGTAATCGTAAAAGATTGATAGGCTTATTGAAATAGTTAATAATAATAGTTATATTATTAATTATTTATTTCATAAGCATTATTAATACCAGTGAAAACATTAACAATGCTATTGCAAGTCCCTATAAAGAGAGTAGATATTTTCTCTTTTAAAATTTCATTTTTAAAATATTTGTAATATTTGTATTAATTAGCTGTCGAATTTAAAAGGGGAAGTTGGTTTTCCTTTTTTAACCTATTGATTTTAATTATTAACGACATTAAATATTTTTTATTCCTTTCGTGCCCTTTTGGGTAGTTAATCAATCATTGTTATTGTTTACCTCTCTCCTTTTCCTATTGGCTATATGGGTTTAAGATCCTCCTTAAGAAATGGGGTTTAAGGACCTGATCCAACCCGCATATGGCATGATAGAGATGTACTCCTTGAGACACCGCAATGATAAGGAGGATTGGTCGTGCAAGGTTCCCCTCATCTGCTTCAATATGGCCGAGTGGCACTGCCCAGATAGAGGTGTGAGACAATATCATTGGCAACCAATTCCATCTTCACCTCATGAAGGCCTTAAAGGTCTCCACAAGTAAAGTAAAGATTTGAGGGCTTCACTCATTGATTGGGTTAGGAAGTATGAGAGTTGGATCTCTCTTTGAAAGAATAGAGCGTCCTTTAGAGTTGATGGAATCCCAATTTCAAGGCGGATGGGGTACCAAGACGAGTACATGATTAATGATTTGGTATCGCAAGTTCACAAAGGAATTTTTCACCAAGCGTGGGGCAGTGATCGATGCCCCGATAAGTTTGCATCTAAGATGATGTAAATTTCTCATTTGAACGAAGTTGTTTTGCTCTTGCTAACCTCGTCATGGTTTGTGATTACATCATTGCCTATCCACCAATGCCTGCACCACCACGTCCTTCGTCTTACAACAGTGATGTCCAGCTACCCCCAGAATCACCGCCAAAGAGGACGTCACGCTTGGGGTCCATTTGAAATTCTCGTGAAAGTACGTGAAGAGTTTAATGTACAAGACTCATATGAGCACAATTTTGGAAGAGGTTCATCAAGTTCAGTGCCACCTATTAAACAATTTTGCAGAGGAACACCAAATCCCAATTTTATCCATAGCCCAATGTGAGATATCACTTTCAAACACTGTAACCAAACGTGTATCCACCTAACCCTGATATGTTTAGTCCATCTACTTCCAGATCAACACCACAACTTTCACTCCAAACCGTTAGTCTCGTTGCACATCATGCTTGCAATAGGCGTAGAAATGAAGGAGCACGCGGACGCGGAAGAGATAATGTTGTGGGTCAACAATGAGGTTAGTTATTTTAGTGATGTTGTTTATGTTAGTTATCTTAGTGATACTAGTTATGTTTTAGTCACATTATATTTTTAGTGTTTTAGTCACATTATGTTAAAGTTGATGACACTCATTCATAGTGTTTATCACTTCCATATTTAATATATTTTCTCTTCTATCAATGATTCTTTAATGGGTTTTATTATATTTTTATGGAATTCATAATTATTTGGATAATGAGCTTATGATAGATCTTGAGTTTGTTTTTGTACTATTTGATACCTTTTGGTGTTGTTTTGAGCTTTTCAAGGATATAATGCACTCAAGACTAATATGTATATGTCATCAAGGGACCCTATGGATCAGAAGGCGTACGAGATTTCAAGCTCATGGGCTCAAATAGTTATGTACTTCGGACATCAGATGCTCATTTTATGGTCAAAACAAGTATATCTGGTAGTGCAGCAGACCCAACTTTGTCTGAGGTAGAAGAAAAGCAAATCGAAGTGTTGGGATACCTCCCAACAAGTGCGTCTTTGAAGTCTTTTCGCCGGACTCTGGGGACACTAGAGGTCATCAGGTGGAAGGATCCCCCTCACCCTGGTTGGTGTTATTGATCTCACTCTTTCAGTGAAGGCCCAAGTGCAACCCATGAAATCTATCTGTATTCCCCTCGATCGATGACTCTGAAGGTAAATTCATTTTGACCTCGCGGTTAAAGGGTGGAGGTTGGGTGGCTTCCTTAAAAATTCTCCTAAGGATTTGACCAGTCGCCACTTACTCCTCTAGAGATGCTATCTTGCTCACTTGGGAAGGTTGTACCAACGAGGGATCCGGTTTCAACCCAGTTGGAAAAGCTTGAGTATTTGTGGAACTTGATCCGGCGTAGGGAGCGAATGAAGGTGTAGCTCCTTGTTTATTGCTGGAGAGGTGTATTATCAGCTTATGTTCTCCATACTCCATGATCACTTGCCTTTTTGGGACCTCAATTACAGCTCCTGTGGTAGCCAAGAAAGTCTTACCAAGTAGAATATGAGTCGGAGCTTGAGGTCCCGCATCTACTACTACAAAATCCACTAAATAAACGAATGATCCAACTCTAACCAAAATATCTTCCATGACCCCTTTGGGTAGGCAATTGAATTATTATCTAGCTTTATAGCCATGTCCGTCGGCTTCAAATCCATTAATCCCAACTTATTATACAATTCGAGGCTCATGACGTTGAGATCCGAGAAAAGGTCGACAAAAATATCTTTGATGGTAGCCCCTTAATTGAGCAAGGAATAGTGAATAAACATGGATCACCTCTCTCAATTGGTATATCATGATTAATGAATATCGGGAATGCTTGCCCAATGTCGACGATTGGATGCTCTTCCAATTCTCACTTAGTGGCTACCAAGTACTCTATGAGATTGACATAATTTGAGGGTTCTGGGACTTCTTGAAATGTTGGGATAGCCAAAGAAACGTATCTGGCCACCTACTCTTTCTTCCTTTGGTCAAACTTTGCATTAGAGTTGGTAGTTACGGTTTCTGTTTGAATTGTCAGCTCGCTCCTGATCGGTTGAGCTTGTTGCCCTTCAGATCTTTGTTGTCCTTCTCTAATTATCTCTTTCAGGATTCTAACTGAAGTTGACATGATCTTGAGGGTGCTCACTAGTGCTTTGGATTATGCTTTCAAGGAGTCCATTTGGGCTATAGAAGCATGGACAAACAGATCGAAATCGTTCATCCGCTGATGACAAATCGAGACCCAATAAGATACCCTTTCCTCCAACCGCTCGAACCTATGCTTCAACTCACGGCAAGACATGCAAGGTTCGTTAATGGTGTAGTCTTGATATTGTTCTGTAGGTGGAGGAGAATTGCTAGACTAGGGAAGCAGCCTTGCGCTAAGTGCAAAGACTTGTTCTACCCAGGGCTGATCCGTCTCGACCTTTCATGTTAGTTTCTTAAGTTCCTTGCCAAATTCTCTTATCTGGCTCTGAATGGCTAATTCTCTATCCAAGAGGGCTTCCACCTGTTCTATATGATTGCATAACTCCTTCGCTTGCTCGAGATCAACATATCGAAACTCGATTGGGTATCTTCTCTCGATCATCTCCCTGAAGTTCTCTTGGAGTCCATTGTGGAAAATCTCATTGAGCCGATCATCAGAGTATCCATGATTCAGAGTCCGTCGTATCAACACCCCAAATCGTTCCCAAGCCTGCCAGAAGTTCTCTTGGGATCCTTGTTGAAAGGTGGCAATATCCTTCTTCTGTATGACAACTATTGTACCAGCAAGATACCAATACACGAACGCCTCCATGACTTGACTCCAAAGAGGGCCTGTAGCTTGAAACTCCATATACCATACTGCGGGATCCCCTCAAAAAGTTAAAGTGAAGAATATACCATTTATCTGATCTTGAGTGAACCCCCAGTATCTTCACAACTTTGGCAGCCTTTAAGAAGTAGGACATATGATCAAGAGCACTCTCGTCACTCCCTCTTTGGAATTGCGGTTGCTTGCAAAGTGTACCAATAGCTTCCTTCACAATACGTTCCTACTCGGTTTGGTCCATTAGGAACAATCTATTCACACACAAAAACTTCCACAACCCGTGATGCACAAAGTTGGATAACAAAACACAAAATGAAACAAACTACGAAAGTAACAAAAACTCAAACGACAACACAAACAAAAACACAAGACAAAACAAAACAAAATAAAGACTAAACAAACAACTCAATGGTTTTCTACTAGTTGCCATGTTTCCCCGACAACGGTGCCAAAAAGTTTGATCGATTTCATCCGTGTAGATTATTGTCAGTGGTTAGTACGTGTCAAAAACTACCCCATCCTAGGTCAAGTTTAACCTAAAATGGAATTGATGTATAATGACAATCAAGGTCTTATTTCACTCGGGTCGTGGTACCCTAGCCTACTTCCCACATTGTTGTTATCTAGCCCATCGGTTTAACGGTTTTGTGTGGAGGATATGAGTGAACTACTAGTTAAGAGAGTGAATAAAGATAAAAGCAAGTACTTTGGGGAATTATCCCTCACCCTAGCTTAGGACAACTATGCAATGTCTAGATACTTAGTATTTGTCGAATGTGGTGAGTGAGCTCTTTTCCGGGGACTTTCGTAGTTATCCACACCCCTTCGAGTATGCGTCCCCTAAACCCATTTATAATAACCTTGATCTAGGCTATCGTACCTGGGGCATTAAACTCGTAGCTCTTTTCAATGGGTACTTGATAGACCATTGATTGCACATGTTTTACCCCTATTCTTGAGCCGTTTGAGATGTTGATTCTCGCGTTTTAAGCCGATTTCACGCTAGGTTGTGCGTTTATGTCATATTTCAGGACTTAGCGTTGGCATCGAGGCGAAGAAACGAGTTTCGGGTCGAAAGGAGCACATTTGTGTTGAAGTGTGCTGGAGGAGCAAAATACCCGGCCATGAGCAGAAATACCCGGCCGGGTATTATTTGGAGCAGACTGGGGAAAACTAGTTTGGGGCGTCTGAGAAACAGAAGGGGGCCCGACATTAAGCATAAATCCCCGGTCGGGTATTCTTGACCCAGACCGGGGATTAACCCCTGTTACCCGACGGTGCGTTTTGAAGATACCCGGTCTCCACCCAAAATACTCGACCGGGTATTCAGACCGGGGATCGCGACAGACAGCTTCTTAAGGGAAAAGAAGGGCAAAAGTGCAGGGTTCGGAGTTTTAGAGAGAAAAAGCGATACCTAGAGAGAGAAAGTGACAAACCTGATTCTGCAAGTGTCATTGATCGATCTCCATCACCATTGGAGCCCGACTTGAGCTTGGAGAAGAGCTGATTGAGTGCCAGAAGCAGATTCTCATCCTTCACAGTATGGTTTCCGCATCTGAGCTAGATTTCCCATCTCTCTCTATGGAGTAACTTTCTTATTCACCTGGGTATGAAGAACCCTAGATTTTTATGTTAGGTCTGATTGTATGAACCCAAGTACAGATTTAGTGATATGATTATATTCAATTGAGGCTTGATTTGTTGAATGGCATGAATCCTGATCAAATTCCTGTTGTTTCTGCTTTAACCTAGAAAGAGAATATCTTCCTAGGTTGATAGTGCATCCTTGATTGAAGGTAGTGAATTGACGACTTTAATTGAGGAGTCAATTCACTATTCTGCACCGAATTTACTTCAGTAGTGGAGGTTTGGTTCGTTAGGGCCTCAATCTGTTTACTTCGGTGGAGGATAGTCGCCCGCTGGGGACTCAGATTGAGAAGGTCTGGAGACCTTTAGTCGAGACTTCAAACTGTTTAAGAACCTCCCGCAGTATAACTATCATTGAAATTGAACTTGGTAAATTACAATCCGGCTTAACTGCAGTCTAGGGGGAACCATATCCGGGTGACCTCTCTCGACTTGAAAACAACCTTTTTACTGCTTTGCTTGTTTGCTTGTTTGGATCTTCACTAAAGTTTCACTGCTAAATAATAAGAACTCACGGAGTAGTCATCACACTTAGGACTCGGGTTGACATTAAAACCCAAACCCGATATACTACACTTTAGGAGGTGGTTACACTTGGCCATTTTCTAGAGTGATGGTAGGAGCGAGTCAGTACTACCCACTGTCCACACCGAGGTTTCATCCCGGGTTCAATCTAGAAAGGAATTCCTATCTAAATGAGTACTACCCAACCATAAAATCCTATTCATACATCTAACCTTAATTTGCTTGATGACACATACCCATCTAACCCTAAAACTCCATACTCAGCGTAGTAGCTCAAGTAGGCTAGTAGAGAAGATTAGGGCGACTTACCCAAACACAATCGAAGCTAGTAAAGCATGCAAATCAACTAGATAAACACATTCATTCATTACCACTCTAAAATATGCTTACATACATAGTAACACTAAAACTAGGGTTTGCTGTTTATAACCCCTAGTATCTTAGAGTACTACTCCGTAAAGGAGGGAAGAAGATACATAGAAGAGTTGGAAGAAGACTTGATGTTGAGGAAGATGACTTCTCTTCTTCTAGCTCCTTCTCATTCTTCTCCTTTACTCCTTCCTTCAGCTTCCTTCCTTCCTTCCTTCAGCTTCTCTCTCTCTTCTCTTCTCTCTTCTATTTATAGGCATTAGAGGATGGAGAAAATCACGGACAGGAAAGGTCAAAATCGCGGGCGCGATCTTTTGCATGGAGGTCGCGATCTTGAGACGCTACCATTTCGGCCTTCCGAGACGAGGAGGTCGCAGGCTGATTTTGCGGTAGCGATCCACGAGTCGCAGCGGCGAACTTCCTCGGGGTCAATTTGTGCTTTGACCGTGTTCTGCCTGGGGAAACTCTCTATTTCTCCTCGGCTTCTTCCTCATGAAGTTCGCATCCTGAGCCCTCTAGATCGTGACCGCGATCTTAGGCTTCCAGGCCGTGATCTTTGGACTATCTTCGCAGGCATGGTTCTCGGTCGTGATCTCCAACTACAGGCTGTGTTCTTCAGTCTTTTGCCCCATTTGCTACACTTGTGACCTTATTTTGTACCTAATTCGTATGTATTGTCTAAAGCACCCTAAAATCATTATGAAATCAAATAGGAACAAAATACTAATTCATTTGACACTGTTCAAACAATTATGCACATGAATTGGCACGAAACAAAACTTAATATGAATGGTAAATAACACCAATTTAGGTGTTATCAAAGATCTTGATTGTTTCCAAGGGGATGAAATTGAAGAAGAAGGAAGGGAGGTTGACGAAGAAGAAGAAGGAGCAAGTGGTGTTTAAGATGAGGATGAGGTCGAGGTGGATGAAGCATCCACGAGTTACAAGTGCTACCAATGCTTTCTACCCGAATTTGACGCGCTTCTCGAGAAGGACCCATTTGCGGATCTTTGCCAAGCCAAGGCCAAACCATCGAAGATCCCTCTTGGTGGATGCGATGGAAGTCAATCGACGATGCACTACATGGTGTGGGTCAAAGCGAGAGAAGAAGGAAAGAAGAAGAGGTCTAGTGGGTGGAGCCTCAAAGATACTCGAGTTCACAAGCCCTCAATCATTGACTCGCCCAATGCTTGTGACTTGAGGCTTCATCTCACCGAAGAGAACCTCAACTTCAAGTAGGTCCTTGGATGGACCGAAGTTAAAGGAGAAACCGTCTAGCTTATGACGTAAAAGTAGCGCTCGTTGGGAGGCAACCCAACCTAGGTTTGTGTTTGTTGTTATGTTAAGTACTTTTTTTTTGTGAAATAACCTCGCATTGTGCGAGAATGTCTTGTGTTTTTGTGTTTGTTCCCATGTGACACTCTCTCCTCTTCATCTCTAGCCCAATTTTGTGGCGACTTTCACTCACCAAACAATGCGGTAACATCATATTTTACGCCATTGAGGGCAATGTCGAGCTGAAGTGTGGGGGGGGGGGGTAGTTTTTTATGCTTGTGTGTGTGATTGAGTGCTTGGAGCCTAGATGTATGTCCAAATTTTAAAAATTTGAGGGATCCAAGCATTGCATGTTCATTGTGGCTGGTTTGTTGGAGAATCTTGTGTTTATTGGCATTGACTTGGAATTGTTTACTTGCGATTGAGTGCATCCTATTATGATGATTGGTTGGTGCAAGAAGTGTTTAGTTCTCATATGTGTGCAAACTGCAAATAGATGGATTCCTTGACTTGAATACTCATTGATTGCAATTGCCATGCATTGAAATTTTTGAAATTGGAATGGATGATTGAGCGACTAGGTAGCCATGCGAGATTTGTGCCGATCGTCTTTTTCATGTGTGATAGTTTCATCTTACCATGGCGAGTAACATTCACGTTGTCATTAGCAAGTATGATGGAGGCATAGGATTAGTCCACACCCAAAAATTTGATTGTCCCGAAATATTTTATCCCCTAGTCAACCCCTTTGAGCTATGTGACTTAGGGCGTTCTCATGTTGGGAGCTTGTGCTTTTTGAGCTTAATGTTGATTGATAGAACGACCCTTTGCTTTCTTCGTGTCTAAACAGTTGTCAGTTGTCATTGTGTCTCGGAGCTCTCATTTTTTTAGCTCCATCGAGGTTCTACATAGGGGGATTTTGCACGGTTCCTGCTAGGAATGAAAAGGTAGTGTTGGAAGAAGTTCTTAATGGAGAGCATTGTTAGTTAAATGTAAAAGTGGCATGTGTTTAGCTCTCTAATACCCCCCTCCCCCCCCAAATAAAAAAGAGAATAGGAAAGTAGAAAAAGGAATTGAAAAAGAGGTAATAATAGGGGTAAATAAAAGATAGAGAGTTGCCACGAAAGTCGATGTGTATGCTCTAGAAATGTGTTTCTTGGCACTCAAGCCACTAAAACACCTAAGTGTTTGTTGACATCCTTCACTACCATGCTTGAAAATTGGATAGCAGGTTTAGCCGAGAAAGTGTGCTTGAATGTAGTTCGTGATTGTAGTGGTTTGGAAGAAGGGAAATGCCGATTTTGGCCGATGATAGTGGTTGTTGCTTGTAGGATAGGTTCTAGTCAAAACCATAGAACCTTGGGTTTAAGGTTTAAGATGTGGAACCTCATGATATGTTTGTCACCACCCAAAAGGCCTTTTCTCCATGTAGAAGACCCTTTCCAGTCATTTGAACCCGTGTCAAAAACCTCTGGACAAGCTAGTGATGATAACCATCTTGTGAACTTTAACATTTAGAGGTTGTCGTCGTGGTGAAGAGATGATAGGGCTCATTGTTGATGATGTGCATCTCTTGCATCAAATGGTTCTGACCCAGTGGTCGAGAGTGAGTGATTCATTCACATTTTGCATGTTCATATCTTATCCAAGTGAGGACCTAGTTCACCCATTCGTTTGTTCCTTGGACTTGATCTTTATGCATGGTTAATTGTGGTTTGTGAGTAGTCTTGTCAAGTCATGTGTCAATCTGTGAATAGAGTGAGACTTTTTCGTTTGCACGTTCTTAATGCATTCGAATGTCATTTGTGATGGATTCCCCGGATTGTGATTGTCCGTGTGTCGATTCCAAATAAACATTGAGATTCATCCATGTTGTGCCCTTTGATGTGTCCCCAATCTATTGTTTGTAGGTTGAAATATTACCTTGTTTGTGATTGGTTTGCATGGGGACAAGCAAACGTTCAAGTGTGGGGGAGTGATTTGGGCTCAATTACAGATATTTTACCCCCTCATTTCTTGTTTGTTTGACTTGTTGAATCATCGTCCTTCGACCTATTTTATGCTAGGTTGTGTTTCTTTTGTCATATTTCAGTTCCTAGAATGTGTGGGAAGGTTGAGGTCGATTGGAGGTCGAAAAGTGCCAAAAAATGAAGAAAAGACTATGACAATTGCATGGTAGCATGCTCCCATGTTTTTGTCCGATGTCACGGTATGAGCTCCAAAGTCACATCCATGAAGTGCAGACCGTGAAAGTGACTGTCGGGCTCTATAAATAGAAGGGATCTGAGAGACAAAAAACGAGGTGGGATCTGGGGTTGGTTTTACATTTTCAGGGTTCCCTTCTAGGATTCCAGTTGCAGAAACCCCAAGGGAGAAACCCTAGTGAGAGAAATGTCTTCTTCTTCAAAATCTAGAGAGTGAAAGTAATCAACAAGGAGAGAAGAAGATTTGGCCTTGCTTCAAACTAGAGGAGTGAAGGTTTTTATCTCTCAAGGGAATTTTTATCAACAAGGAGGGAAAACAACCATCCACTATGGTTCTTTCTTTCATCTTTGTTGTTTTCCTTTGCCTAGCTATGAAGTAGAGTTCCTCTTCACTTGGGTATTGTGAACCCTAGCTCTTTGTATGTGATGGATTGTATGAATTGAATGTGTTGTGTGTGGTTTGTGTTTTAATGCAAGTATTGAGGTATTTTTATCAAGGTTGAGTTGTGTTTTCCATTCCCAACTATTATGCCAATTTTGACCTAGGTAGAGGGAAATCCCCTTCTTGCTAAGAGGCTTTTTAAAACTGGAATTCCTTGGCCAAATTGAGCCACCTACTTAGGCCGAATTAGGGCAAACCTCATACTAAGTTTTAGCACCTTGGGTTGGTTGTATTTAAGTCGTCTGGACTAAGGTTTGATAGAGAAGCCTTGGTAACCCTTATTGATTGACCAAGAGAGCTACTTCGTTACCTTGATTTTATATCCTTGGCTCATCCACCGAGAGAGTGAAACTTTTTCACTAGTTGCGTTCATCTGCGGTTTACAACCAGTTTTCCACACACTTGCATTCTTTTCGACTAATCTTGATATATGGATAGAGGGAGCAATACCCGGATGAATTCTTCTCTTATTGGGACCGGCTCGGGTTTGACAATTAAAAAAAATACTTGTCCTATACTGCACCCGGCTAGAGTTTATACCTGGGCTCTAGTCGGGATTTTAATCCGCGGTGTAGTCCGGGCGAGTCACTTGCATCAAATAATTGAATGGATGGTTGTAAAATGCAACGAAGAGTAATTGATCGCTGAACATACATGCGAACAACAATTTTTCGTTGTTCGCAGCAACGATACACTATTGTTTGCTCTTGTAAGCATCGTAACATTTCCAACACTTTGCTTTTGCAATAAGCGAAAGACTTTGTTCGTTATTTCCTAGGCGATTTACGTTAATGGCTCTTGACTTCATCGATTTATTAAAGTTGTTCACTTTTGACAACAACGAACTGCACCAAACTCTAGTAGTTTGGGAAATTTTGATGTAAGTGTTGTGTAGTAGTAAATTTTTTACTAACTCGATTAGTTTGGGAAAAAATCCCCTCAAGTGACCAAGCCATTGTCCCTCCGTCCTTTGAATTCGGGTTTTATATACAAATTATATTTTTGGCGTCTAAACTTAATAGATCTTAAAATTTAGAATGTATGTAAGTCTAAAACTATAGACTGAAAAATTATAATTTAGTCGAAAAAATCAGCTCGGGACTTGAAAAATTCGCCCATGCTGCTGCTGCGTTTTATTTAGAGAGCGTGTTCCTTTGTGGAACTGGGAGCAAAAATCGACTCGGGGGATTTTTCTCGACCAAACACAACCCGGACCTGTTTCGGAAGCGCGCTCCAGACCAGAGGCTGAGACAGACACTTCCCTTATTCCTTCCCTCCCTCTCATCGCGAACCCCCCACTTCAACTACTTTCCGTCATTCTCTCCTTTCTCTTCCCGTCCGATCACGTACCGCCTCCGCCGTTGCAATCGCCACCGCTCGTCGGTGAAATACGGTCTGAGCTCCGTCGAAACCCACCGGAGGACTCAGAAGTAGCATACCCGTTTTTTGTTCCGTAGCCATGGCTTGGAGGCAGTTAATCGCTCAGGTGAGTACTCCGTCCTCTCCTTTTCGTTTTTTCTTTTCCCCCAAACTGTTGAACATATTTCTATCTCGCATTATCCCCTGTTTCCTTTTCTGTCCGTCTTGTGTGGTCTGGCTGTTTGATCGATCGAGCTTTTAGCTGAAAAACCCTAAGTTCTCGACATACTCTACTTCGGCCTGTTAATTTAGGGCGACGAGACCTATTGTCGTAGTCGAATTGAATATCGGTGCTCAATGAATTGAGAATTGATTGCCGGTTGACCTCCGTTACATATGGAAAGCGGGAACTTAGAATTGCCACAACAATGTTTGTTAGGGCTTCGTTCTTTTCCGTGATAAGTAATTAGAGCTTAGTAATTATCTGGAGTTGGTATTAGAGGCTATGCGCTTCTTTGAAAATGTTGATACTCTGTAGATTTCATTCTAGACAGTGTTCAGAATGTGCAAAATTTTGCATCTGCCTCCACTGGGCTACCCCATCTTACTCTTTTGACCGAAAGTAGAATTCTTTTCGAGCTTAAGAGGTGCTGGTGCAGTCCACTGGTTTGCCCTTGTAGGATCACACGTGACAGCAAACCGTGCTCTTGTTTTATCTGAAGTCATAGTTTTTCTTAGAAGTTTGAAGAATTTATCTTCCCGCAGAAGTTATGCATATCTGAGTCCCATTGTACTTTGAACTGTTAGACACGTGAAGGTGGACATAACACCGTATGCAATTGTTTTTTTTGCTCTTGCTCAATGAAGTTCTTGCATTGGAAGTAATTATGCAACTGTTAGATACGTGAAGGTGAACTTAACACCGGATGTTTATGTGTGTCTTGTATTGAGTACTCTTCTTCTAATAGGTTTCAAGACAACAATCAGAGTTACGACAATGCAGAAGCTTCTTTTTCAGAAACTATTTGTCTGTTTACACATTCAGAAGTTCTACAGGTACTTATTCTTTTCGGGTGAATGCATGTTCGTCTCTCTCACTCTCTCTCTCTCTATAGCATATGCCTCACGCATAATATACGCTTTTATTCACACCTATTAAATGTACTTTGATGTATTTTGAGGAATTAAAACTGTCGGCTAATATTTTGTTTTATTAAAGTGATCTTATGGTTTGAGTTTAGAGAATTAGTGACTGGAGTTCACCCATTAGCAGTTAGGATATAGTATCATGTCCAAACTCTAGCTAATTCATGGTCTAAATAGCAAAACTCGCTGGCTGTATGCTAGCTTATACTTGGTTCAAGAAATGACCCTTTGCGTTCTCCATATTACTAAATACATTTATCTGACATCCCTATAGTCTAATTCAATCTTTTTCTTTTTTCTGGATTTTTTATCGTAAAACTTAGTTATCATATGTTGTTCTCAATCTACAGGCAATAGAGTTCCTAATATTCAAAGGAAATTCCAATCAAGCTATGTTGGCAATCTAGCTCGCAGGGTTCGTGATGCCGATGAAGCTAGTGAAGTTGCACACCTCAAAGAACTTTACCACCGAAATGATCCTGAAGCAGTTATAAAAATCTTTGAAAGTCAATCATCGTTGCATCATAATCCTTCTGCTCTTGCTGAATATGTGAAAGCTCTTGTCAGAGTTGACAGACTAGATGAGAGCGAATTGTTGAAGACCCTGCAGAGAGGTATCTGGAGATTCTTTGTTACCTTCTTGTCTTTGAAATAGCAACACAGTAATTACCGGTAAACTGCTACAATGCAAAAGTCGAGGCTGATTTACTATTGGTCAATCCAATATTGGGTGTGTCAGATATGATGAAGCTGAGGGCATTCTACTTTTCTCTGGTGGTGTTGTGTCGGATGTCAATAGTTGAGTAT